TTGCTCTAAGGACTAGAATTATATACATAACTGATAAACTACAGAATAGACACATGCTCCTAAAAATCTCAAAAGACAGGTTTTCTTAAAGTCCTGCAAGGATTTTTTTTAAATAACTCTCACATGGAGAAAAGACTTATAGATGTCTATGCGTTAAGTGACATCAAATTATTTCTGGCATTTGGCTCATGACCCCAATTAGGGTTTTCAAAGTACGTGAGATATTTAAGAATTGCTTTTACCAGTACCATCTACCAATGAGTTTCCATGGCCAAGCAGGTATTTGAATCCAGGTCTCCTGAGTCCTATTCCAACATCCTATGCACTACGCCACACTGGTTCTCTACAGACACTTACCTCACACATATACAGTACAGTGGGGTCTTGACTTGAGAACTTAATCTGTATTGGAAGGCGGTTCTCAAGTCAAAAAGTTCGCAGGTCAAATCTGCATTTCCCATGGGAATGCATTGAAAACCATTTGATCCGTATCTGCTCTTTTCCGTCCATAGAAACTAATGGGAAGCTGCTATTCCGCCTTCTGCCACTAGAGGGGGATATTTTGTTTCTTTTTTTCTTAGGTCAAGAAAGGTTCAGGGAAGACAAGGAAAATACAGTCCAGGCAGTACAGTACCAGGCAGTCTGAAGACTGTCTCCCAATCCACTCTCTAAACGCTGGGAGGAGTGAGGAAGCAGACAGGCACCCTTTTCACTGGCCAACAGTTAACTGAAAGTTCACATTTTGCACTTTCCCTGCCTCCCACGTGGGTTTTTTTTCAGTTCGTATCTCAAATCTAAGTATGTAAGTCAAGTCAATATTTTCCTATGAGAGCGGTTCTTAAGTCAAAATGTTCGTAACTCGGGCCGTTCGTAAGTCAAGACCCCACTGTATGTGATCAACTACAGACCCCAACACAATGTGAACAGCAAAATGACTCTTTAGGAAGAAATACAGATTTCAATTAATTTTTAATCTCAGATTCATCTATGACATACTGTGATTTAGTCACGCTGTGGCAGATAAAACATTTATAACTGTCTTCGTGTACTTCCCTGCAGACATAGATGAAAGGTTGATATAAAGCAAAAGCAAGCAACTATGTAGAGAAAGCCAGATATTCCATATTATCATGAAAAGCAGCACGAGGCACACATACACTTTTGTAACTGGAAGTGCAGTCTAGGACACAGACCTGGAAAAAAAATCAGCCTCCACCTTGTCTATGGCACATCTTCAAAAGAATTTTTTAATTCCTCTGATGCTGGAAATCCTAGGGGCAACAGACAGAGGTGCAGCCTGAATTGACTTTTGCCAGAAGGGTGGTTTTGACTTCTTATCCATTTTCCATTCCATTTGTTTTGTCTGGCAGGAAGTTGGCACAAGAGGCCTGGCTTCAGGGCTCCAGCCTTGTTCCAAAAAGCTGCATGCTTAAAATGCCTGATATGAACCCAACAAAACAGATTTTACAACAATGGGATATGGCTGAAACAGAAGGGACACATCCTTTCCTCATTGACTTCAAAAGAGACACTAAATACTATGGAATTACACAGGCTGGATCCATGGAAACCATCTTTTGCAAATTCAGAGCCAGGATGTAGCTTAGTGGGAGAACATGTGTTTTACAACATTCACTCCCTGGCACCTCCAAAGGGGGCTGGAAAAGTCCTGGAAAGTCTGAAACCAAGAGCGGCTGGCAACTTGTTTTAAATAATACTGAAGCAAATGGGTCAATTGTCTGACTGCAGACAAAGCAGCTTCCTGTGTTTGCTAATGCAGACTCCTGCCCTCTCTTCCATGAATATATTCTTCTATTCTTTGTCAGTTTTAACCTTGGGGACCAATTTCACCCTACCTCTGAATCCTTGATGAACTTTAGGGCTCTTTCCTGATGAAACAAGTTTACTTCTGGTTTCAAAAAACCAACTGTTTCACTCCAACAAGGTGGAGGGGAGATGACTTTGCAGAAAACTGCACCTTTTGTTGGTTTTCAGAAGCAAAATTAGGTAATGTAAAAACATGGAGGGAAAGGAGTCTTGGGCCTGCAAAAGCAGATACCTAGCTATGACAGATTAGCCTCCATACAAATGTTAAACATACAAATCAGGTTCCCTGTTAAGTAAGGTTGGAAAACCTTACTTAATTGTTAAATTGTAACTTTGAATTATAATACTAACGGCAAGACATGTAATTTGCTGCATGAAAGAAGTTCCAACTCAATAAAATGGAAGTGTAGCTTAAATTCTGAACTAACAAAAAAACCCATCTGAAAAAAACAGAGATAAAATGGCCACCTTCACAGGATTACAGAGGATCTTCTGTGGTGATTTATTCCACTCCCTTATTCAACAGGACATAATGTCAGCATCACTGGCCTCTGGATCTCCTTAAATATATCCACCAAGTGGGAAGTCAGCAAGGGGGAAGTCCCTACTTCAATGTACCTGACTGCCTACAATATAATACCCAAACCAGTCAGAACGTATTCCAGATTAGGCTTTCCCTGAATCTGGCAATCTTTTTACAATAACATTGAGCAGAAACATGAATAGGTCTTTGTACTGAACCCCTATTGAGATCCACCATGGGACTGTGCACACAGTTACTCTGCAGCTTAGCTTACCTTGATTCCAGTTTCTGTGATAAGTGTGTGAATCTATCTTTTATAGAACAGCAATCTCACATTTTTCAAACAATATCAGTCAATTGCTTTAGGTTTTTTGTTAGTTTTAATTTGTGCAATCTGAAGCCTATCACACTCTACATGCTTGAAATCTGGATGCCTATCATAACTTCTAAAAAGGCCTCAACAACACCATTAATGTGGAGAGAAAGCAGTATGTTTGAAATACTGTAAAATGCCTATGTCAATCCAGCCAAATGCCATGGATATGCTTATATGCTAATAAGTGTACAGTATATGGAATAGGGCAGTGTTGAGTCTGATGACTATGACAAAATTCTCTCTCTCTTCCACAGGAGGCTTGACATTATGCTTCTGAGGCTGCTTTGGAACGTGCATATGGTGCTGTGTCATAATTGGAGTTAAGCAATAGGTAGTAGAGAATTAGTTTCAGTTTTTAATATGTTACTCACTCTGATCCTCAGGATATGGCAGGAAACAAGCTCACTAAATATTCAGGATGACTCACTAAATTGTCCCCTAGCCATTGAGGTTTACTCAGAGTTATTCTTTATATTCAGTGTTTGCAATACACAACCATTATCCATGAGTCATAGAGAAATCCCCTTCCCCTACTCCTTTATGCTCCAAATATCCGTTACTATGAAAGCTGTCACAAAGAAAGGGGCTTGGTTTTGCTTCCTTTAGTTTAAAACAACCCAAGCCTCTATAGCACTCTGGCACAGGTTACAATGATTAAACCCTGATAAAGATTAACTATTGCAAACCTATGCGTTTATCCTCTGAGTTACTCTGGGTAAGCTACACTGTGAGATGTAAACCATTCATTCACACAATTACATGGCAGTGAGTATTGTATTTACTTTTACTCAAAACTAACATGAACTTACTCTGTTCAAAAACACAGTTACTTAATACTGTATCTTCATTAATAATTACGTGCTGTCAGGTTGATTCTAATTTATGATGACCCTCCCAATGTTTCTAGTCCTGAGAAGTGGTAAGCCAGTCCCTCACAAGGCCACACATGTGGCAGGGCACATAGCCCCATCAACCACATACACTTTGGCTGATTTTTGCAGGCCTCTTTCCCTAGAGATACAATGGGGATCTGAACTCTCAGCCCCTGATTCCATGGCCTGGTGCTCCAACCCACTGTGTTATACCAGCAATTATATCTCTTTATCAAGGCCAACCAAAATGCCATAAACATGTGCATATTTTTTAGTTTCCCAAAATTGTTCATCATGCTATGGAAAAACAAGAACAGAGAGGATGAGATTTCCTTCCTCTCTAACCTTATTTAACCTCCTTGAATATTTCTGTGGCCTTTTAAGTGGCTCTACCAATTTACCTTTATTCAGATCTATGGATCTGTCTGGCTGTATTTGTTTTTTTGCTTTCCTTTTTTTTTTTAAAGGCTACCCTAGGGAGACATACAGAGCCATGAAAGAAATGTCGTTATAGCTTTGCTATTGACAGACTGAAGCAGCTAACTAGAAATGTCGTGGAAGAGCAGGAAACTATTAATTATTTCATCAGCTGCAGCCTTTTACTCTCCTTGCCCATATTTGGAGGTTCCCTAAGGATCAGATTTGTCCTGGGGAAGCCTTTGGGAGCATCAGGACAGGGGGAGGGACCTCTTTAATATCCAAAAATTGCTGTCAGATGGACTGGGACTGGCAGCAATGATTTTTAGGTAAAGATTTACCTACCCTAAGGCCCCCCAAAGGCTTCTCCAGGACAAAATGGATCACTAAAGAGCTTCAGAATCTCAGAAACTTCTAATTAGCAATAAAAGGCTCTGACTGATGGTGTCGTCAACCTTATCCATGCAGAACAGCACCAACAGGATTTCAGCCATTGTACTTTTAATGTTGGTAAAGGGAAAGAAATTTTATAGATTTTGTGGGGTAACCTCCAACCTAAGTCCTATGTATAATGGAACCACAAAAATCAATGGGATATAAATTAGTTGCAACTAATGGATCTCATACATTTTAATGCATCTATTCTAGGTAGGACTAATGTTGGATTTAACTCCAGTGTCTTAGCTTCCGAAACAACGTCTAGCATTGTACTGCACACTTGACTGGGGTTAAGGAGTGTCTTGCTAATGCCTCAGGTAGCAAAATGTCTTGAGCCCACTTTGATATTGCGTCCTGAGGAGCTATGAGCCTTAAATAAGAAAAGAGGGTACTGCAGTGAGATTATGAATCTCAAGAGACTGTACATCCTCTTCTACACACCATGTCAATTGTTAATAAATAAGGTCCTCTGGGCAGGGGCAGTCATTTATAAACTGGAATCCTGTTGCTTTCATATAGCCCCTTTCCTAAACATCCTGTTACTCACCAAGGTTGGGCTGCGACATTGCCATTGATCGTTGTGATACTGGGGTAGAAGCGGCTGAAGGATGATGGCTCATATGATTCAGTGGCTGGGTCATAGTCTTTCGAGGATCTTGCCATGTTGTAATTTGCTCTATATGGCTGTAAAACAAAAAGATGGTGGTTGTAAGGAGATTTTTTGTTTGTTTGTTTATAATTTTTATATGCCATTTTTCTCCTGCTTGGGAACCAAAGGTGACTCACAACAACTAAAACTACAGAGAAATCAACAATTTTAAAAACACTAAATATCATATTAAACCAATTAAACATATCAAGATTGTATCAAGATTAAAAACATTTAAAAAGAATTGAAAATCTGTAACTTAATAAACAAGGCATTTCTGAGATAATCTCTATAAACACACTTCAGCTGCAAACATGACCAAGAAAAAAGCTGTGTGGTCCTTCTGCACAATACAAAGACGGGGTAGTGATACCTTTATTAGACAATAAAATCTCACAAACAGAAGCCAGCTTTTGACTTCACCGGAGTTTTAATCAGGCTGGGCATTCCAGAGTTCAGCTTTCATTGCAGAGCCCCACTTTGGAAGTTGCTTTCAACAAAGGAATTTGCTTTATACATCTGGCCATGAATTTTGGAAATTTGATGTTTCTTCTTCACCACCACTACCCACTTTGTAATGCGCAGTCTGATGAAGACTCCAGAGGAATACAAAGTTAGCTTCTGTTTATGAGATTTTAGTGTTCTAACAAAGGTGTACCCACCCTTTTCTTAGGCTCACGTGTATACTGTATATTATCCATCTACATATGTTTGCTCTGTCATACAATATTAATGCTTATATAACTATCTGAAGAGTTGTTTCTTCCAGCAAATATTAGTTTTCTTTGGTATTTGTACAATCAGACTTGATGAAATGTTTGTACAGAAAAGAATAAGACAATATGGCATTATCAGAGGCCAGTATCACCATTCATTCTCTCCTAGGGTTTTCTCTAGAATACATCTCCATTCAGAAATAATGGAGTTAGTCCACAGTTTAAATAATCAAAATGGTAACATCCATGTGCACATTGCTAGAAAAACTTGCTACATGCAGGATGGCAGCAGCCATGGTCTAGATAAGCATCTTGATCACAGCTATACAAACACAAGTGCCTATCATGGCAACTAAACTGCTTCCAGTTCATCTTCATATTAATAACATTTTGCAGACAATGATAGGAATATGCAAGACATGGAGGAGAGTCAGAAGCCAAATCTGCAAAGACATGTGAAGACCAACTAAATTTTTACAAAAGGTAGTCTTCAATTCATTCAACAATATTGGATCTTGATTAAAAACGATTTTTATTCTAAGCAGAGCCTGTTAGAATCCCAAACCGGAATTAAGATTGCCGGAAGAAACATCAACAACCTCCGATATGCAGATGATACCTCTCTGATGGCAGAAAGTGAGGAGGAATTAAGAAACCTTGTAATGAGGGTGAAAGAGGAGAATGCAAAAACGGTCTGAAGCTCAACATCAAAAAACCTAAGATCATGGCCACTGGTCCCATCACCTCCTGGGAAATAGAAGGGGAAGAAATGGAGGCAGTGACAGATTTTACGTTCTTGGGCTCCATGATCACTGCAGATGGAGACAGCAGCCACGAAATTAAAAGACACCTGCTTCTTGGGAGAAAAGCGATGACAAACCTTGTCTACATCACCTTGCCAACAAAAGTCCGCATAGTGAAAGCTATGGTTTTCCCTGTAGCGATGTATGGAAGTGAGAGCTGGACCATAAAGAAAGCTGACCGCCGAAGTATTGATGCTTTTGAATTGTGGTGCTGGAGGAGGCTCTTGAGAGTCCCCTGGACTGCAAGGAGAACAAACCTATCAATTATAAAGGAAATCAACACTGAGTGCTCACTGGAGGGACAGATCCTGAAGCTGAGGCTCCAATACTTTGGCCATCTCATGAGAAGAGAAGACTCCCTGGAAAAGGCCCTGATGTTGGGAAAGTGTGACGGCAAGAGGAGAAGGGGACGACAGAGGATGAGATGGTTGGACAGTGTCATCAAAGCAACCAACATGAATTTGACACAACTCCGGGAGTGCTCTGGTCCATGGGGTCACGAAGAGTAGGACATGACTAAACAACTAAACAACAACAACAAGACCCTGTTGTACCCCTTACATTTCATACCTTTATCTTTTTCTTCTTTCTATTCCTATTCTTTGATACCCAGACCAGTGTAGTGGACAGAGGATTCAGGAGACCTGGATCTGAATTCCCCCACAGTCATGGAAGCTCACTCTATGTGTAGAACTGGTAAAACCACTCCTTAAATATCTTCCTTACTTTCCAAACCCCATTTGAGTTCTGACTTGAAGGCACATAATAAAAAACAAAATGTGTTGCTTAAATACTGTCCCATAACACTTAAAGCACTCTTTGGGTGTTTTACAATTTAAATTATGCAGCCTATACATTGCCCCCAACCCAGGGAGCTGAGTACTTGATTTCCCTACCTAGGAAGTGTGGGAGATTGAGTCTAGCGTGAACACAGTCTTCACTGCAATACTGCAGTTTAACTACCACACCACAACATTCATACTCTTTAGCCAACTCCAACACCTAGAAAATTTCTCCCTGCCTTCAAACTGTATCCTGTCTGTGCACTGCAAATTCATCCCTCATTTTTCTCCTCATGTATATTCTCATTTTTGCCTAATACCACACAGGCATAGTTTGCTAGTCTGCAGATCACATTTATAATTTATAAATGCAGAGTAATAAAAAATAGTAGTACATGAAACGAGATTAAAACTCTGATGTAACTTTTACAAGTAATTCTGAGCTCAGATTCACCTTTAGCCTATATCTTCAAACTCTGCCTTTCAAGGTTACTCTCACTTATATGCCTCACATGCCCTTTTTCCAGCAAATGAGTCACTTCCTTAGTTCAAGGTCTCTCTCAATTCTAATTCTTTTTCTTTTTCATTAGATGATGCAGTATTAGTCTTTCTAGTATCCTACAAAGCTTGCTTGCTTGCTTGCTCACAACATCAAAACTGGAGACCTTGGGGGGGGTGTCATCTAAAGAAGTCATATACCAAAAGATTCAAGATAAACAAAAGGGAATTCTAATTCAGTCACTCATGGAATTCATTGTCAGAGATGTAATGATCTCTCCTAGCTCAGATGGCTTTCAAAAGGAATTGCTCAAAATAATAGAGTACCAGATCATCCGTGATTTATATGCAAAGGACAAATAACCCAGTTCCTGGGATAAGGAAGAAATTGTCACAAATTTGACACTGGGAACAGTAATATTCAGGAAGCAGTGGGAGAGAACTCCCTGGACACTGTTTCTGACCATCCCTGAACAAAAGAAATCTAAAGGTGGGTTCCAAAAGGAATCTATGACTAAGAACATTGAGGGTCTCAACTTTGTCTCCCTTGGTTTTAATTTTTATCTCACTAACGTATGGGATTTGCAGTCTAAAAATTTGGAATGGCACAACCCTAGTACGTACAGGCGGGTGCTTCAAATGTGGACAGAAAGGTGCTTCAAATGCATCTGTGCTGTGAATCAGTTCATCTATGCAGGTTTTACCATCCAGCTGTTGTGTGTTGTATAACCAACAGTTTGGCAGGAAATTCTACTTCTAATTTTTATATTCCTATTGCATATGTACCCCTCTGTTTTTAATCCTGAACCAACTGTGTAGGCCATATATTTCACTTACACTTCTTTGACAATACATGTGTCATTAATCTGCTTATCTATGCCTGGATGTAGTCAGCCACCAATGATCTTTGAATGACTCTTTTAACAACCATCACTCAGATCTGTACCTTCTACATCCCAAAGCCTGATAAACAAGTCTTCACAATCACTGTTGAGACTACCATCTTAAACTTTTTGTGTATCTATTTCATTTTCGATTCCCCTGCTCTCCATATGTCTATCTACCCAAGCTATACATCAAAGGAACCCATAAAGGTTTATGCCAAATAAAACATCTGAAGCCTTCAAGGCATCACAGGACCCTTCATTGTCTCTGCTGCTAAAGATTGCAGACTAACAAAGTTACCCCTCCAGAATTATCTAATGTGGTAACTCAAGGTTACTCCAGTGCATTAACACAAGATTGCACTGCTTGCACAAGTGCTGCACTAGTGAAAGCCAAGTTTTCTTTATGGCATTGGTTCCCAATCTGGGATCACCAGGTCATTCTTTAACTGCAATTCCTAGAAATCCTGGCTAGCACAGCTAGTGATGAAGGCTTCTTGGAATTTTAGTCCAAGAATATCTGAGGACCCAAGATTGGGAACCACTGCTTTATGTAAATCACCACTTGAACAAAAGCAGAACTTGCACAAGTGGCAGAATCCTGCCTTTCTACACTTGCAGGGCTTTCTATTCAGGAGAAGCTCAACAGATATGGTTCTGAAGTGATAAGCTAGTACCAACAGCAGGAGAATAGAAGTGGGAGAGATCTATTGGTCTCAAGTACTCCTGGTATTGAAGTGACCGTTGCTTGACTGGACAATGGACTAGACTGGACTAACAAGGCTCTTTAATGCTGTGACATTATGTTTTTCTTCCTTTCTAACAATATTTAATTAAACATGGCAGTACCCAGTTCTTGAGGCATCCAACACACATATGCCCACCTTCTTATTTTATTTTTTAATTCCCTTCACCTTTTGGTTGTCATGTTGTATTTTAAAAGGAAATGAATAAATCAGAGTGTTGGAAAAGCGAAGTTGAGTTCTTATTTAAATCCTATTAATTGAGGATGGATACTTATATTCTTTTGCTATACTCATGTTTTAGACAGTAATTAAACTGACATATGTATTCTATCTGTAAAGATGAAAGTTGGAGATCCTGGGTATGAGATTCTCAAAACTTCGGGAAAGGGAGTTTAGGCATGTTAACATGACAAAATATGCAAAACTATTTGTACACAATGAAAACCTCTTTGGGAAAGCAGGATGATGATACCTGTATTTTAAATTTCGCTTCCTACTCCACTGTGAACAGAGATCTCAACCACAGCTGAAAGTTCTATTAGACAAGATTTTCCATCAATCTCGGGACAAAGTAACTGGACACTTCCAAGAAACGATAGAGAAGGC